GAGGGAGGGAGGGAGGGAGGGAGGGAGGGAGGGAAGGAAGGAAGGAAGGAAGGAAGGAAGGAAGGAAGGAAGGAAGGAAGGAAGGGCAATAGCAGACTTATATACCGCTTCACAGTGCTTTACAACCCTCTCTAAGTGGTTTAGAGTCTCAGCCTATTGCCCCCAACAATCTAGGTCCTTGGAAAGATGGAAGGCTGAGTCAACCTTGAGCCAGTTAGAATCGAACTCCTGGCAGTGCACATAGTTAGCCTGCAATGCTGCATTTTAACCACCACAACCATAATTCCCCACCCCTGCCTTATGGTGAAGATCTCCAACTGAAAAATATGAGGTATGTATCTGAGAATCTGCCCTGGTCCCAGAATTCCCACTGCGTGATTCCAGCTTAAACCTGATTTAGACTTCAGCGTCACTGCGCGTAGCAATAGCAATAGCCCTTAGACTTATATACCGCTTCGTAGTGCTTTACAGCCCCCTGTAAGCAGTTTCCAGAGTCAGCCTATTGCCCGCCAATCTTCAGCCTGGTGGGATTCAAACTGCCAAATTGCAGGCAACCAGCAGTCAACAGAAATAGCCTGCAATACTGCATTCTAACTGCGCCGCCGTGGCTCATCAGGGAACGTATGCGATTGGAGATGGTTGCATAGCATTTATATTTTGGCAAAAGTTAGCGTTCTGGCTAGGGGGCGCTCTAACAACAAAGCACAGGGAAGGCGCCTTGCCATCCGCCCACCAGGAAGTCGGATCAACCAATTGGCATGCAGGACACGCCTCTCTTTGTGCAACACGGCGGTTGAGATTGGGGAAGGGTGCGCGCCGGCCCGCCTGCAACCATTTGCAACCTCCGCTTACCCACCAACCCCTTTGGCAGCGTGGATACCCACTGACGCCTACGCGCAGTTGAAGTCTAAATCGAGCTTTAGCGGAGACTTCACCAACTGCCGAGTCTCTTTTAAACTTATTGTAACAGAAACAGCCCCGCCTTTCCTCCTAAATTTAAATTTAAAACAGTTTTTTTTTTAAATGGTATTTTCCCCCCCCCCCAAAGACTGCACCATTGAATTGGGGTGGGGGAGAGGGACGTAAGGGAAAAAATGGTAAGCAAGGAAAATACTTAATATTCTGTAAGATAAAGTACTTCTGAAGCCCCCCCCACCCCCCCCCCCCCCCTCTGTCCAAGCAGATGCAATTCACAGAGGTGTCGTCCGAATGGCTCCGTTCAAGTCCCAGTACCCCAGTTGGGTACAAACCGTTTTTTTAAAAACCATTATTTTAAAAAGTTAATGGACGCGTCCGTTGGCTACCTCAAAGATGTAATACTGATCAGTACTAGAACGTTATTCCACCTACAAGGTTAGAAAAAAAGGAGCTTTGAGAAGGAGTAGAAAATTGATTTCGAGTTCAGGAAGCTTCTCCTCTTCTTTGGCAAAACAATGACCCGAGAAGAGACAAAAAAAGGTTCTGTAAATACTTGTGTTCAGTTTAATCCGTCTTGGAGAAATGAACTAAGCAGGGTAGGCAGCCCCAAAGTCAGACAATATATATATATACATATATATATATACTGTATATATTGCGGTTGTCGTCCTGTCCTAACGGCAACAGTTAAGGGCTGATGAAGTTACAAAAGAAGTATTTTAGGCATCGTATTTTTTACCGGTCCTGTGAATCTGCTGGAAGAGAGTCATGGAAAAGGCCATGCCAAGAATCTGGAAGACAAGCAAGGAAAAGGATGTCGGAATTCACTGTGGGATACAAACAATACTTTTACAGAGTCCCACACCCATACAATCTTTGATGGCTTTGGTAGAATCAAAGATGGGCCCCATTGCATTAAATTTGAATTACTGCTCTTCTGCTATGACTTTGTTTTCTTTTTAAGACCCTATAATCCCTGAATTCAGGGTAGAGTCGGGGCAACTGAACGGAGCTGAGCATTTACTGGCTGGATGCCCTTCCTGACACCTATGTGGAGGTTCACAGCTGTCATGCCCCTTTTGGAGTCTGACTCCGAGGGAGAGATGGAACAGCTGACAGGGAGTGGGAGTACGGCTACGGAGGTTGTGGAGGAAACTGGGGAAGGGCACAGGCCAGCTGGGCATTCAGAGGAAGACCCAGACCCATCCCCTCTTCATCCTAGGGCACGCAGGGAGGAGAGGATAAGGGAGAAATGTGAATGGCATGGTCTACAGGGGAGGAAGGGGCCCTGATCTCCTTCATGAGTTGCAGCTGGGACAACTGGTTAAAAGGACAAACTGCGCATGGCAAAGTTGCTTGTTGGAGCTTATCTGTGTTTTGTCTTCTTCCCAACTGTGGTGGCTGCAGTTATCTGGTAGACGTCTGCAATTAATCATCCTTGCCTGCCGTAGTAATTCCTTCAGTGTGGTTTGTGTTGGGTTTTTTATTTCGAATTAACTTTTACTTTGGGTGCAGACTGCATTTACTCCCTCCGTAAACTGTTTTCTTTAAGAGTTTGATATCCAGCCGAGGATAATTGGACATTGGGGCCAAGTTGGAAGCATTCATGGAACTTTATTCTATTTTTGTGCCTTGGTTATTTTTGTGTCATGCCCTGGTCATCACAACAGCAGATATTTTTTCTTTGTGCCGAGACAGAAAAATCTGTTGCTGCCTAGGATTGAATTCTCAACCTTGGGAGTGGGAGGTGAGCATCTTCACCGCTAGACAAATATATCATCACCATTAAACTGTTTCAAATTCCTTGTGTGTCTAATCACATTTGGCCAAAGGAAGTTCAGTTCAATTTTATTCATCAGCAGGTTTTTCTAAAGGAAAATAATGGAATAGTTACTTGGGTGAAAAAGAAACGACTCAGATTAGCAAACTTTGGTCCAGCTGCTATGATTTTAACTTTTTTTAAAAGATACTTTTGGCCTAGATGATTGAGTCTTGATTGACATATTGCAATACATTTTGGGAAGAATGTTACAGTTGGTGTGGCAAAAGTTGATATATTCCAAAGACTCTCTGGCTCTCTACCTATTTTTTTTTTATTTTGACACCTATTTTTTTATTTTGATTAATGAAGCTACTTGGATGAGTAACAAAACATCTTAGATTAACAAACATTGGTCCAGCTGCCATGATTTTAACCTTTTAAAATCTGGATGGTTGGATCTTCATTGATGTATTTCACCAGATGTACTTATCATTGACCCCGGAGTCACAGCCCCCAAAGAGCCCGGTTCAAATCTTGCACCAGTGTTGTTGTGCTTTGCTAGCAGACTGTGCAGACAGCAGCAGAATCGGACAGTGGGAAGAACGGGGACCAATCCGGGAGTCTGGAGAGGACTCGGGCGAGGGATCTGCGTCCAATGCAGAGATGGGGCCAGGGCCATCTGGGAGTTATGTGCTGACTCCGGAGCCTCCGGAGTCTGGCAGCAGAGAGGCCGAGGAACAAGGGGAGCCTGTTCCCAGTGCACTCATGCGCAGAGCTGCCAGAAGGCAAGAACAGTTAAGACAAAAGGGGCGACTCGGGAGTAAGGCTTGGAGGTGATTGCCCCTCTCATAAGGTATAAAGGACAGGCAAAGGTGAAAAACCTTTGCAGGAAGCAAAGTCGTTCACTCTGTTTGGATTAAACCTTGAAGTTCCGTGTGGACTTTGTACTTTTTACAGTTCATTTGGCACTTTAGTTGTTGGCAGCCATTCAAAGGAGAGAAAGGTGGGTGCTTATTTCGAGGGACTGTTTGAGACTCATTATGGGCTAGGAATGAACATAATTCCCAGTGCTGAAATAAAACAAGAGTTGTTTTAATTAAGCGTGTGCTTAATTACAGTCTCAGGAAGCCTTGGTCAGAACATGGAGCGAGTCTCCATCCCCCACCATCACCCTTAACCTCTCAGGCCAGGCGAAGAGTGACGGCGAGGGGAGGGGAGGGGTCAGCCAATAGGGAGCCACAACAGAGGGCCAAAAAAGCCGCATGCGGCTCTAGAGCTACAGGTTGCAGATCCCTGACTTAGCCCATACCTGTATTATGAGGAGACACATCCCAACGGCCCCGGGGATATGCTTGTTATCTTCAAACCACGTCATGACCTTCTCGTAGCAGCCCTGGAGGAGAAAAAAAAGCTTTTTAAAAACATTGTTGGATAGCAACAGCATTTTGAGCAGAACGGCAGTGGAGAAAAAAAAAAGGTTTGACTTCTGCCAAAGTTAGAATTAGAAACTTCAAATGAAATTTGACAAGGATTCATCAAGGAGGTGAATTTTGCTCTTTTGTTCATGCACAGATAACTCACTGTTGCTTTTTTTTACAGATTACATGATTTTGCATGCTGTTCAGCTGGCAGCAAAACAGTGCAAAGGCAACATTTATTTTCATTCAGAACGTGTCTCTAGCACGCACAATTTTTTTTAAAAAATCTATCTAAACTTATTTTGTAACTTCATATTTAACCCCTGAAGGAATATTTCCAGAGAATTTTTAACTGTCATCAGCTTGGATTGGGAAGGCTGAAAATACCTCCCCGGGAGCCAGAAGGTAATCCCATCTGTGTAGCACTGCTGAACAAATCTGCACAAAGACTTCTCCAAAAAGACTCCAGATTGACTTGAAGGTGACTTTACTTTTTATGTACTACACAGTACTTAAATCCTCTCTGGTGGAACGCAAGAGAGCTGCACAACTTCCCTCTGTGATCTGTAATCTAAGCATCAACTCGAGCCAAGTATTTTTAGCACCGGATCAATTCTTGGACAAATGGCTGAGTGAACAACAGTTATTACCTATTAGCAGATTTATGCCTCGGTCCTATCCTGATTTACCAAGAAGTAATTCCCACTGAATTCTACAGGACTTAAGGATTCACGATGGCTACTATGATAGGTAGTCCTCGGCTTACAACCATTAGTTTAGTCACCGTTCGAAGCTACAACAGCACGGAAAAAAGTGACTTATGACCGTTTTTCACACTTATGACGATTGCAGCGTCCCTGTGGACACCTGATCCAAATTCAGATGCTTGGCAACTGGCTCGTATTTATGATGGTTGCAGTGTTCTGGGGTCACGTGATCCCCTTTTGCGACGGGCTGAGAAACGAAGTCAATGGGGAAGCCACATTCACTTAACAACTGAGTGACCAACTTAACATCTGCAGGGACTCGCTTAACAACTGTAGCAAGAAAGATTGTAAGATGGGGCAAAGCTCACTTAACCACAGTCTTACTTAGCAATAGAAATTTGGGGCTCACTTGTATCCGTAAGTTGAAGACTGCCTATATTCCTAGTCAACAGAGTAAGCATGTTTGGAAGAATCTAGGGGCGAGTAAGCATGAAGGCACCATTCAGGTGATGGTTTTACCGTTTTCCACACCAGGTTCGTGTTGTTGGAATTCCGACCACAATCTTGGGAATTCTCCATGCAGCATCTGTCAGGGACAACGTTATCACCCAATACGGGGTACCAATCTCTATAATCAGTTACCCCACAGCAGTGCATCTATGGGGAGGAAAAAGGAGAATGAACCAGAATTTTTTTTTAAAGTATTTCTGTTTCTAACAAAGTTAGAATAGAACAGAATAGAACAGGACAGAATAGAATAGGAATAGAATAGAATAACAAGAGTTGGCAGGGACCTTGGAGGTCTTCTAGTCCAACCCCCTGCCTAGGCAGGAAACCCTACACCACTTCAGACAAATGGTTATCCAACATCTTTATAAAAACTTCCAGTGTTGGAGCATTCACAACTTCTGGAGGAAAGTTGTTCCACCGATTAATTGTTCTGTCAAGAAATTTCTCCTTAGTTCTTAAGTTGCTTCTCTCCTTGATTCATTTCCACCCATTACTTCTTGTCCTGCCCTCAGGTGCTTTGGAGAATAGCTTGATTCCCTCTTCTTTAGGGCAGCCCCTGAGATATCAGAACACTGCTCTCCTGCCTCCTCTAGTCCTTCTTTTCATTAAACTAGACATTTACTTTACTTAAAGTTCACAACATTATTAGAGAAACAAGTATATATTTCAGAAATGGACATGTTATGCATGTAAAATAAAGGCAAGAGATCAAGCACCTTACTACAGGTAGTCCTTGATTAATGACTGCCTTGTTTAGTGAGCTTCAAACTTGTGATAGCCCTTCCTTCCTTCCTTCCTCCTCCCTCCCTCCCCTTTTCAGTAGACAGGTAAAAGGCTGCTGCTGGATGGAGAGGAAGGGATTGTGAGACTGGCTGGGAAACTGTCACAGAAGATCATGTGACCGCAGCAACAGTAGCCAGTAGCACTGAAGCAGCCACAGCTTTCACAAATTTCATTCCTTCAGAAATCGTGGGTTTTGGATAAGGTAAGGTAAGGTAAAGGTTCCCCTCGCACATTCAGTATGTGCTAGTCATTTCCAGCTCTAGGGGGCAGTGCTCATCTCTGTTTCAAAGCCGAAAGTCAGCGCTATCTGAAGATGTCTCTATGGTCATGTGGCTGGCATGACTAAATGCCGAAGGTGCACAGAACACTGTTACTTTCCCATCAAAGTGGTCTACTTGCATTTTTACATGCTTTCAAACTGCTAGGTTGTCAGAAGCTGGGACAAGGAACGGGAGCTCACTCCATTACGCAGCACTAGAGATTCGAACAGTGGTGGTATGCTATCAGTTCGACCCAGTTTGGCCAAACTGGTAGCAAAAGCCTGAGCTGAGAGGAGAAAGAAAAGCCCTCCTACCGGCCCCTGAGCTTTTCTCTTCTTTATCCTCTCAGCTGATTGGCGCTGCAGGCCTCAGCTGGTGTGTGGAAAGTTGTGCGCGCATTAGGTGCACATGCGCGCAGGCGATCACCAAACCAATAGTGGAACAGATAGGATCCCACTGCTGGATTCGAACCACCGAACTGCCGACCTTTCTGATCGACAAGCTCAGCATCTTAACCACTGAGCCAGCCTTTTGGATTTTGGATACATTCTAGCTATTAGTACCTTTTTCAAAAATTGTTGCCCTACGACTCACCATTTCCCGCAGGTAAAGATCGCGAGAATGAGCATTTTAGAACTATATAGATCAATAAACCTTATTAGCTTTTAACATTAACTGACATTGGCTGGATTTATATAACAATTTGCAATGAGTTTTATTTGGTTTATGTTTTCATACAGGGTCATAAAAAGAGACTTTTAACATGACGGTAAACCCCAGCTCAATAAACGGTTATGGAAATAATGGTTTACTGCAATAAAGAGTCACAGAAAGCATACTTCTCAGCAATGAAAATGCTACAGAAGGTTACAAGCAATGCAGACTGTACCTAGATGAGTGTATTAAGTCCGAAAAGAAATTGCAGATTGCTAATGCTACGAAATGCCACTAGATGGCAGCAGCAGAACAGCAAAGTCTTATTGGCTATTCTGCAGTGGTTGTCTAGTTTTTGACACAAGATTTGGTCTGCAAGACCTAAGCGCTTAAATATTTTACCTCTGCTTGAATGATATTCCATGCGTTCTTCAGCCCAACGTTGTTTTCTGTATTATACAACTTGAGGCCCTCTTTCAGGTCCTGTTTTGCACTTTCACTCACCTATTTCATAAAAAAAGAATTGTTTTTAAGAATTCTAATTGTTGACTCTCTGCAGGTATAATTTTTCACGTCATTTGGCTGGATATGGTGTAAAAGTACAAGACTAAATGGAACCGAATCTCTTCTGCAGAATCATCCTTAAGGGGTGGACACTCCTGGCTTCCAAAGTGGCTTTGGAGAAAAATTCCTCAATGCTGCGGGTTATGGTCAAAAAAGTCGAAATGGAAGCTGCAGCAGCATGATGGAAGCTGCAGTTTTTAAAATGTGCATTGCAGCCGCACGGAGAGGACACTGCAGTAGCCCACAGAGGAAGAAACAAAGGCAGGAGTGACCATAAGAAAGGCCGTGGTGGCACAATGGTTAGAACGCACTATTGCAGGCTAATTCTGCTGACTGCTGACTGCCAGCAGTTCTGGAAATTCAAGTCTCACTAGGCTCAAGGTTGACTTAGCCTTCCCTCCTTCCGAGGTGGGTAAAATGAGGACCCAGATTGTTGGGGGCAATAGGCTGACTCTGCAAACCACTTAGAGAGAGCTGTAAAAGCACTGTGAAGCGGTTTATAAGTCTAAGGGCTATTGCAATCTATCTATCATCTCTCTGTGGTGGTGCAGTGGCTAGAACGCCGTATTGCAGGCTGACTCTGCCCACCGTCTGGAGTTCAATCCTGACCAGCTTTCTGTCCTTCTGAGGTTGGTAAAATGAGAGCCCAGGTGGTTGGGGGGCAATAGGCTGACTCTGGAAACCGCTTAGAGAAGGCTGGAAAGCTCTGTGAAGCAGCCTATAGGTCTAAGTGCTAAAGCTCTTGCCTTCTAATTCAGGAAGGAGTGCATTTCAACACAGGATGGATCTGCGCAAAAGGCTTGCCACCAGTTCTTTGAAAGGAACTAAGGGTGCAGGAAGATACACACAAACAAACAAACAAACCCAAATTGTGCACCTGTTTGGTCTGGGGAAGCTGAACTCACTCAGAACTAGGAAGGGAACTTCGCTGAATTCAGTGGCCAGGAAGCCAGCCACTTAGTCTGTTCCTCCTTTCCCAGACCTTCCGCCCTTCCAAGAACTGAAGGAAGTCCTTGGCTGCATCACTCAATTCTGCCAGTGTTTGATTGATGTGTCCGAGTACCAGAAGCTTACTGATCTCATTCTTTATAAATGTGTGTGTAGATATATATATATATATGTGTGTGTGTGTGTGTGTGTGTGTGTGTGTGTATGTGTATGTGTACGTGTATGTGTATATATATAATTTTATTCATTTTCTTAAGTTTTCGCGGGTACTTACATGTATGGTATTCAGCTTTGTTCGGGTATTTTCCCACGTCATTATAGTTGTGCACAGATAAACTCCGTGGCCAAAACACTAATCGCCAGAACCAAACGCCTGGCAGACAAGACACACATAAAGACTGCACTTTGCACTCTGACTAAAGTACTGACAGCTAACGGCTTCCACAAAAGCAAAATCACCGGCTTGATCCACAAAAACACACTGAGACATAATGGAGACCTAGAAGATGAACAGACCTATGGAACAGCTGTCCTGCCCTACATAAGAGGTACTACAGACAAAATCAGTAAGATATTACACAGGCATCACATCAAGACTGCCTTCAAAACAGACAGAAAAATAACAGCCATCCTAAGAAACCCCAAAGATAAAATTGACCTGGAAAACCAAGGCATATACGAAGTCCCCTGTGCATCATGCCCTGCCACATACATTGGACAGACCAATAGAATAATAAGTACCCGCCTGGATGAACACAAAAATGCAGTAAAAAAGCTGGAACACACTTCCTCACTAGTCCAACACATGAAAGCCACAGGTCATAGCATCGACTTCAATGGCACCAGAAACCTAGCTACTATAGAAAACCCCAGCCACAGAATCATCAGAGAAGTCATAGAGATTGAAAAAAGACCTGAAAGCATGAATAGAAGAGATGATTCCACCAGACTGTCAATTATTTGGAAGCCTGCACTCACAAACAAAAAAAATCTCCACACCACAAGCCAGGCAAACACCTGGGCACAAACAGATCCCCCCTGATACCTCCAGCTCCAACACACCCCAACCAGGCACCCAGATGAAACCGAGCTTCCTAACAAATGATAGCCATCCATTTACTCGGAGCCAAGCTGCCTCCAATAAATGCCTCCAATACAGGAACACAATGTTGCCAGCCAATCAAGACACAAAAAAAGCCACAAAACAGACAGAAGATATTAGAAACACCAATCAAGCAGAACACAGCAAAGTCCAAGACCAATAAACACAGACCAAGACTCCCAACCAATCAGGATGAAGAAAAAACCATTCTGGCACAGCAGTAGGCTAGCCCCAAATTTAAAACTGAAACAACTGTAAAAGTCTGACTCACAGATGAACACAATACAGAAGCCTAATGATGGCAGATGAGATTCTGCCAAAATGTTGCTAGAACTTTAAAAGCACAACTATAATGACGTGGGAAAATACCCGAACAAAGCTGAATACCATACATTTAAGTACCGCGAAAATACCGCGGGTATTTTCCCACATCATTATAGTTGTGCTTTTAAAGTTGTAGCAACGTTTCGGCAGAATCTCATCTGCCATCATCAGGCTTGTTTGGGTCTTTTCCCATGTAAGATTAATAGTATCTTGGCGATGTTTCGGCGAGGTCCCACTTGCCATCCTCAGGCTGGTGCTCTCGGCTTCGTGCCAGTGCAAGCAGTGTGTGATCGGAGCTGCCGTCTCCCTATATATACTGGTGGGGAGGCTGGTTGTGTTGTCATTTCTTGATTGGTTGATGGAGTTGATGTTTGCAGAGTGGCTGGCTTTTTCGTAAGAACATGTGTGGCTGAGGTATTGGCTGTGTGTCTATCAGCCTCCTGTGTTGTTTTATTCATAAACGTTTTTGAATACGGCATTTTGTCAGTCATTTACAAGAAACAAAAACCATAGCTAATACTGCAATAGCTATTAACCCATTAATTGATAATAATACTAATAATATAATAACACATAAATTAACAGCACTAATAATACATTGATAACTCCCATATAGTAAAAAAATCACCAAAAATGTTAAATAGATTTCCTTTTGTTTAACTCATTCATATTTGTAGTACTTATGGTGGTTATAGTTGTGAACCATCTCTGTTTTTAATACATGCATTCCATTAACTTCTACCTCTTGCCTTTAACCACTCATAGAATCTGTTCCACACCAAGTACAGGGGAGTCTCGGGTCATGACCATAATCCGTTCCCGGAAGCACAACCGACTGTGCATGCACGCAATTAAAAAAAAAAAAACGTGCCAAAGGGGAAATCGGCGCGGAAAGGGAATTCTTCCGCCCCGATTTTATTCTCCACCCGATTTGGTCGCGACCCGGGTTTCCACTGCAGTATTTGGAGTCAATTCACATCAATCCCATGTCATGCCCCCACCTCAAAGCTGACTGAAAAGAGCCCAGATAACACCAACAGTACTAATATTTAACCATTATATTAGGCATTATCATTAATAATTACTAACAATACTATTACTAATATTAATGTCTAAGACCAATGGTATAGAAGTATGGTCCCACCACGCAAGGATGTATTTTCAAGCTATTTTTCTTTCTCTCTCCACATTTTTATGCCATAAACAGGTTTTTTTCTTTTCTTTTCTTTTCTTTTCTTTTTTTTGGAGCAAGTTGATTAAGTGGTAAATACGCCCAGTAGGTTCTCAGTGAGGAACCAGTGTGCAAATTAATGTTTCTGCAGCTTTTCTATCATGGCATAATTTTATCCAAAGAATTATGGTTTGGCAATGCCCAACAGCTGTTTCTGACAGGTCATGCATAGTACCATAAATAAAGTGTTAATTTCTTTCTCGGTTGACCTAGATCTCGTCTCTTTCTTTATTCAACTGAATGTACCCTTTCTGTAAAGTAATGCTTCGGTCACATTCTTACCTCGGTGTTCATTATCTTTGGAGGGAATATGCATGCATGTATTAATATTCTCTCCTCCCCAAGGAATTAAACTAAAGAAAAGAAGCTTTGCTTCCGAGAGTGAACTAACCAGCCTAGTGGTGTGTCTGTCTGTCTGTCTGTCTGTCTGTGTCTGGCTATATAAAGACTTACCTTGTCCATATAAACAAAGAACAAAATCAGTAATATCAGTTCAGCCAGGAGGATGATCAGCAAAACGACAAAAAACTGAAAGAAAGGACAACAGGAAGAGAGTGGAGGATCAAAATCAGAGAACTGGGAAGGGTTTGGAAAACCTCGTGTCAATGATATCGCTGGGTAGGAAAACTCGAGCTGAATAGTCACATTAACCTACTTAGAGATAATCAAAACAACAAGGGAAATGAGCTCTGATTCAATCCCACCCACCCACCCACCCCCACTACAGACAGCTGGGGCCCCTCATCACGTGGCCTGGAAGATCTGTCCAGCGGGTTGCTGAAATGGGGTCACAATTCCCCCACGGCAGCTGGACTGTGATCGGTATGCGTCTTCTTGGGCTAATAGCTCCTGCTTCAATCACAGCTGGAGGTTATGAGTTGGGGGAGGAAACTGTGTCCAGCTTCAACCGCCTGACCAGTTCTGATTCCACCTAGGACCGAAAGCCTCGGGGATGGCAAATCCAACTCTTGATTAGGGGTCCCCAAAGTGCTTTTTCAACTGGACCGTCTGGTGTTATTTTTTTTCCTTTGAGGACGTTTCATTTCTCATCCCAGAAGTTTCTTCAGCTCTGACTGGATGATGGGGAATAGAAGAATTTATAGACAGCTGGTCATTTGCATCCTTTTAGAGAGACACTGAGGCCGCTTGGAGGTTTATCTGTGTCCTCAGGGGGTCTCACCTGAGTGGTGCAAATGGGTATGTGGAGCCTTCGTGGAAGTGCTGGAAGGACTGTGTTGTCAATTGGAGAAAGATGGTATTGTATTCCTCCCTCTCCGTTGAGGGAGGGCTGCTCAGTTTTGACAAAGACGGCCTCTTTCAAACCAGCGGTCCTCTCTGTCCAAAATCTGGACTTTGCTGTCTGCAGGTAGCCTCAACGACTCTCTAAAAAGGATGCAAATGACCAGCTGTCTGCCAGGCGTGTAAATCCTTCCATTCCCCCACCATCCAGTCAGAGCTGAAGAAGCTTCTTGGAATGAGAAGCAAAACGACTTCAAAGAAAAAAACCCAGAAAGTCCAGTTGCCTCTTGGAAAAGCGCTTTTCGGACAGCCATGACCTGGGTGATTGAGAATCTCCATAGACACCGCGATCGCTTCGATTGCTGTAATGTGCTCAAACAAGCGTAGCCTTTGAAGGCAACTTGGGAGCCACCGATGGTCGAGAAAGTGGCAGTGAGGTGGCCAGCCTCTTTTGCAGTTGGTGCCCTGGCTACCATGAGGATTAACCAGTTTATATCAGGCACTACCTTGCCAGAACTCATACAGGTACCGTGCGTCCCCGAAAATATGAACTTATCTTATATTTTTTCGCTACCAAAAAAGACACCAGGTCTTATTTTCGGTGGATATCATCTACTGACTAACCTCACTTGTGTGTGTCACCTCTGGACTCCTTTTCGCTGTCAGAGGCCTTCAGGAACTTCTTCTTCTGTGGCCATCAAGGCTTTCCTGAAGGCCTCTGCAGCCAATAACAGAGCTTTTGATCGATCCAGAGCTTTGTTATCAGCTCCAGAGGCCTTCAGGAAAGCCTTGCCAGCCTTGCCAACTGCAGAAGAAACGGGCCGGCAAGGCAGGTGTCGGGGTGTGAGAGGCCTGGCTACAACAGTCCAAAGGTAAAGAGTAGGGCAGCTCCATCTCCCCCCATCCCCACCCTAGCTAGTGGGCAGGACTTTAATTAGGGCTTATTTGGGGGCAGTGACAGACATTTTAACTCCCAATAAATCCTCTTGAAGTTTGGGTCAAGACTCATGATTTAATTGGGGTAACTGCTGGAATCCTGACAGGTAGGGCTTATATTGGGCACACGTGTAAAAATAAAGCTAGGACTTACTTTCAGGGTAGGTCATATTTTCGGGTAATCAGGGTAGTCCTTGACCTACAATTCATTTAGTGACCATTCAAAGTTGCAACAGCACTGAAAACAGGACTTATGACCATTTTTCGCACTTACGGCCACTGCAGCATCCCCATGGTCACGTGATCAAAATTCAGGCACTTGGCAAATTATTCACATTTATGACGGTTTTCCCGGGCCCACATGATCCTCTTTTGTGACCTTATAACCAGCGAAGTCAATGGGGGAAGCCAGATTCACTGAATGACCATGTTACTAACTTAACAACTGCACCGATTCTCTTAGCACAGTGGCAAGGGAAATTGTAAAATGGGGCAAAACTCACTGAACAGTCTTGCTTAGCAACAGAAACTTTGGGCTCTTATGGTTATAAGTCAAGGATGACCTGTACTGTGAAGTTTGTTAAGAGTGTCCCCATAGCCTTAAACTGGGATCTTCTACACTTTAGGATTCTTTTTCCTGGAATTTCATAAAGTTCTCTAAGAAGCTGGAGGTGAATTTCTTAATTCTCGATGTGTCTGAATCTAAGGGACTGGAGACTAAAACATATGAAGAACGGTTACAGGAACTGGGCCTGGCTAGTCTAGGGAAGAGAAGGACCAGGGCAGACAGGATAACAGTCTTCCAGTATCTGAGGGGCTGCCACAGAGAGGAGATCAAGCTATTTGCTAAAGCACCTGAAGGCCAGGCAAGGAATAATGGATGGAAACTGAACAAGGAGAGATTCAACCTGGAAATAAGGAGAAACTTTCTGACAGGGAGAGCAATCAACCCATGGAACAGAAGTTGCCCTCTGAAGTTGTGGGAGCTTCATCACTGAGAGCTTTCAAGAAGAGACTGGAGTGCCATTTGTCAGAAATGGTGTAGGGTCTCCTGCTTGGGCGGGGGGTTGGACTAGATGACCTACAAGGTCCCTTCCAACTCTGATGATCTGTTATCTGAATCTGGTTAGACGGTAAAACTAATAAACAAATTAAGATAAAGATACTGTAACCAAGCTGGTTTGCACCAATAGCTGTTTCAAGATTGTTACAATGTTAAGTTCAGCTATTTTAGCCAAGGAATGAGATGGGCAAAAGAAAAACTATGAACAATCCAATATACATATAAAAAATAAAAAAATAAAAAAGGAGTTCACTTTCACTAAGTTCACTTTCAGTGATCATGGGGTTTGGTTGTCAAACTTTTCTGGGTAGTTCTCAACTTATGACCTCAATTGGGCCCCAAATTTCTCAGTGGTGGGATTCAATTCAATCATGTGACACTGGGAGACTGCAACCGTCATAAATATGAGTTCATTGCCGAGCTGAGTTTTCATCAAGTGACCACGGGGACACTGCAACGGTCGTTAAGTGTGAAAAACAGCCATAAGTCACTTTTTTTCAGTCCTACTGTATCTTCGTCACTAAAGGAACTGCTGTAAATCGAGGATTATCTGTGTTGTGGTGGGAGGCTTTGGGAGCAAAAAAAGAAAGAGAAAAAGCAATTTTTCAATTCCCTGGCATGGAACAGAAACCCCGAACAGCAGATCCAACCTACGCTTAAAAGCAGGCACTTGTTTTCTTTGATGGCACCCAAACAGCCCAGGAAAGCGGTCACCATGACAATGGACCCGATGGCGATGACCAGGTTGGCAGCCGACAGCGACGGGAATGTGGGAGAAAACGTGGCGAAGTTTCCTTGGGATACTGAGAGCCATATTCCCACTCCCAGGAGCCCACAGCCGCACAGCTTAACAAAAAGAGAGACAAGAGAGAGAGAGAGAGAGAGACGGGATGAGAAAGGGCATTGTGCCTTTGCCCTTTGCCACAACAGACAGGTAGGAGACGGGCACTTGGGCTGGTAAGAGGAGTTAGTCAGTTTACCTAATTGTCACTGTGCCCTTATGCACTACTTCATAAGACAGATACCTCCTACCATCCCCTAATCACCTAAAAAGAAAACATGGTAGGAAGACAGGTAGGTAGGTGGATGATGGATGGATGGATAAGTAGGTAGGTAGATGGATGGATAGATGATTGCTAGACAATGGATGGATAGATAGGAAGGTAGGTAGGCAGGTAAATAGATGGCAGGTAGGTAGGTAGATAGATGATAGATAGGCAGGTAGATGATAGGTAGGTAGGTAAATAAGATGATACGTAGGTAGGTAGATAAATAGATGATAGGTAGGTAGATTATAGGCAGGTAGGTAAATATACAGATGATAGGTCGGTAGGTAGATAGATGGATGCATGGATAGATGGATGATGGATGGATAGATTGGTAGGTAGGCAGATAAATAGATGATGGGTAGGTAGGTAGATGATAGGTAAGTAAGTAGGTAGGCAGATAGATGATAGGTAGGTAGGCAAGTAGGTAGGTACGTAGATAAATAGATGGTGGGTAGGTAGGTAGATGATAGGCAGGTAGGTAGGTAGATAAATAGATGGTGGGTAGGTAGGTGATAGGTAGGTAGGTAGGTAGAGTGGTAGGAGACGGGCACTTGAGCTGGTGAGAGGTTAGTTTACTTTATTGTCATTGCACCTTGTACAATGAAATTAAATGCCATCTTCAGTGTACATTATACATAAAAAAAAATTAAACACACATCCTTCACGTTCTATACATTGAACTGAAACCCACTGATATTGCATTCATATTGCGCTCTATAGTAGAATTCAAAAGAGCTACTGCCCTGGGATAGAAGCTGTTTTTCAGCCTGTTTGTCCTTGTTTTTATTATCCGGTACCGTCTGCCAGATGGTAATAGTTAAAAAAAAAGGGTGCCCAGGATGAGGTGGATCTTTGAGAATGTTTTGAACTTTCTTAAGGCAGCTGAACAAAAAGAGAGACAAAAAAGAGGGAGAAGGGATGAGGAAGGGGGAAAAACCTTGAGGTTTTTAAGAAAAGACCATTTGTCTGGAATAGTACAGGGCAGGGGTGTCAAACTCAATTTCACTGAGGGCCACATTAGGTCTGTGGTTGACCTTGGGGGAACCGGGTGGGCGTGGCTGATTGGCTGGGTGTGGCCAGCTTGATGCTACTCACTGGGCGTGGCTGATTGGGGTGGGCATGGCCAGCTTGATGCCACTCCCCAAACTGCTGGCCCGATGTTTCCCATTGAGTAGACCGAGCTGAAGCGACATGGGCTGGCCCCTAACATTTTCCAGGACAGCCCTGCGGGCTGGATCCAACCACATTGCAAGCCAGATTCAGCCTGCAGGCCTCTAGTTTGACACCCGTGGTATATAGTAGTGGTGGCTCCTGTGCCAAAAATTGTGCGCGCGCTTGCACGCTCGCATGCCAGCACCCAGAAGGCAATGCGCACTTCCCCCACGGCCCTTACGCATGCGTGCGCAATCCTCACCCCCACCGCCCCCTTACCTGCACTGTGCCTCACAGCTGATTTTCGGCCGGTTTGAGTCCTTTTTCGGCCTCCCAGAGGCTTGAGGAAGGCTTCTACAGGCTTTGCAGGCCAAAAACTAGCCCCGTCTTGTCATTTCTGGTATTTTCGGAAAAACAGGAAGTGATGAAATGGGGCTAGTTCTTAGCCTGCAAAAGCCTTCCTCAAGCCTCTGGGAGGCCGAAAATCAGCTGTGATGTGTGCCAAAGTTTGCCTGCAGCTTGCATGCCAGCACAAACGGCTCTGCGTGCCACCAGTAGCATGCGTCTCATAGGTTCGCCATCACAGGTATATAGGGTCCCCTGCTTGAGCATCGTATCTTGACTAAGTGACCATCATATCTTGCCTACATCAGGGTTTTGCACTTTAGGCAAGAAAAACCAAATGGACAAATGCAGAGTAGATGCAACCCAGCTCAACAGCCATTAACAGAGATCTTGTTGTCTTAGTAGACAATCAATTACATATCAGCGAGGCATCTGCTGCAGCCACAAAAAAACCAAAAAAAAACCCCAAAGCAATTCTAGGCTGCATTAACAGAGGGATAGAATCCAGATCATAGGAAGTGTTGGAACCGCTTTATAATGCCTTGGTAAGGCCACCTTTAGAATACTGCATCCAGTTTTAGAGATTACGATGTAAAAAAATACTCTGGAAAAAGTGCAGAGAAAAGCAACCACGATGATTAGGAGGCTGGAGGCTAAAACCTACGAAGAAGAGCTGCAGGAATTGGGTATGTCTAGTTTAATGAAAAGAAGGACCAGGGGTGACATGATAGCAATGTTCCAATATTTGAAGGGTTGCCACAAAGAAGAAGGGGATCAATTTATTTTCCAAAAGCACCTGAGGGCAGGACAAGAAGCAATGGATAGAAACTAATCAAGGAGAGAAACAACCTAGAACTAAGGAGAAATTTTCCTGACACTGAGGACAACTAACTAGTGGAACGACTTGCCTCCAGAAGTTGTGGCTTGCGTCATCACTGGAGGCTTTTAAGAAAAGACCAGACGGCCGTTTGTCTGAAATGATAAAGAGTGTCTCCTGCTTGAGCAGAGAGGGCTGGACCAGAAGACCTCCAAGGTCCCTTCCAGCTCTGTTATTCTGTATCCCACTAGAAAGATCAAGTGACCAGATTTGGATGCCAACATCCAGTCCATCACTTGATGACACCGGTGGTATATAGAAAATGCCAACCCTCTGTTCCTTTGGGGGATTTTGGCAAGACAGATCTGGTTGCCCTCAGCAACTAGGGCCCCCTCCCTTTCAACATACTGAGAGGCCTTAAAGAAGCTCAGCTGGTTTGGGGGGGCTGGGAAAAAGTCACAGTGCTGGTTGTGGGAGGGGCTTTGGGGGGGGGTACAGGATCACTGACTCAGTTCCCAATTCCTCCTTCTTGAAATGTGCTTCTTAATTAATTCACTTTTATTTTAATGCAGTCCTAAACAGATGGCGGATGATTATCTAGAAATGTGATATTCCTCATCATTCATATATATATATATATTTTCTTAAGTTTTCGTGGGTACTTAGATATATGGATGTGAAGAAGCATGGTGACCAACTATCCAAGTTAACCGTGACAAAAATGCACAGAGTGTAGGTACTTTTGTCCGCAAGTTTAGAAAAGTTCCATCCTTCCGAGGCAGGTAAAATGAGGAGCCAGATTGGGGGCAATAGGCTGACTTTATAAATCGCTTAGAGGGGGCTTTAAAGGAATGTTGATCAACGTCAGCAAGTTTAAGCTTAGCTGCCTGGGGAATTCTGGGAGTTGAAGTTCACCCACTGAAACTTGCCAAGATAGCGAAACACTGCTGTAAAACACTAAAGAGCGGTGTATAAGTCTAGGAGCTATTGCTAAGTACAAGATTTTCCTCCTCTTCCTCCTCCACCACCACTCTGCAAGGCCCACTCTTTACTAGCACTGATAATGTTACCTACTTGGGTCATGAAACGTCCGCGAGAAAATAACCAAGCTCAGAGAGCACCATGGACCCACACAATGCTGCCATCCTCCTCCTCTTCCTGCTTCTCCTCTTCCATTCCACAAACCCTACTCACTTCTAGTACTGATGAGGTTACCTAGTTTGGGGTAATGAAACATCTGCAAGGAGAGCACCAAGGGCCCCCCAGTCCTCCTCCTCCATTCCACAAACCCTACTCCCTTCTAGCACTGATGTTACCATGGAGCCTCATAATGCCATCCTCCTCCTCCTCCTCCTCTTCCTCTGCAAGTTTCCAAACTTTAAAACAGACTCTTCCAAGCGGCTTCCAGTCCAAACATACCAGGTTGGAATTTCTAGATGTCTTCCAACATCTGGAAGGCGGCAAGTGTTGGAAATTGCATTTAAAATATGTTTTGATGTGATTTCCCAAACTTAGAAGTAGTTAAGACGGCTGCAGCAAACATGGGGAAAACACCATTCGGTCTCTGCCCCCCTGAATAACCCTCCTCCAGCTGACTTCTCTGTATTGCACTGCTCTAAACCGAAAGCATTCTTCGTGTTTTTGCATGCACGGAGGGAAAAAAAAAACCTGAAGGAGTCTCTCTCTTCCTGCTACCGGCGTTTAAAATTAGAAACTTGCCAAGCTGATTTGAAACTCTTGGCAGAGGAGCCAAATATTTTTGGACTGGCATTGTAGCCAGAGACAGCTGATTTTTATTGCTATGACATTATAAATTCTCTAACCCCGTGCTAAATAAATTCAGAGTGGAGATAAAAGCAGGATCCTGGGGCAAGAGAAGATGATGAGAAAAGGAGCTGGAGGAGGGTCTTGGAGGGCTGATAGGTCAGCCGTCTCTGTTGTGTTTGGACAAGACTTTCCAAGAACTGACATGTGGTTGGGTGTCGGTGGTGATAAATGCTTCTTAGAGAGCTGGGGAGAGGTCCCACTTTACCTTCAGGGGGTGGAGGTCTTTCCCCCTCCCTCCTCAAAAGGCCACCGCTAGTGGACGTGGTGGCTCAGTGGCTAAGACGCTGAGCTTGTCGATCAGAAAGCTCGGCAGTTCGGTGGTTCGAATCCCTAGCGCCTCAGAACGGAGCGACTCCCGTTACTTGTCCCAGATTCTGCCAACCTCGCAATTTGAAAGCATGTAAAAAAGCATGCCGCCGAGGCCTGCAGCGCCAATCACCTGTGAGGATAAAGAAAAGCGCAGGGGCCAGTGGGAGGGCCAATCTTGCACTTTTCTCTTCTTTCTCCTCTCAGCTGAGGCTTTTGCTACCAGTTCGGACAAACCGGGCTGAACCGATAGAATACCACCACTGTTCAAATCCCTAGCACCACATAACAGAGTGAGTTCCCGTTACTTGTCCCAGCTTCTGCCAACCTAGCAGTTCGAAAGCATGTCA